CCTCTGCCATCACAGTTTTAAGCCTAAAGTCACCCGAACAAAATTTTCTAAACCATTGTTGATACTTACGAACGTTCAAAACATTTCCATAAACTTCTTTGATATTCTTTGTGGGTACAGAGATGTTGTTTCATTTCTTATATTCAAACACCATTGCATGCCGAATCTGTGTCTTGTCGTGTACCATCACTATAAGGGATTAGAGTATACTAAACTTGACACATTATATAGGCTACACTAACATGACATTTAGGTGGTTTGTTTAACTATTATACGTGATGTGCATTTTTTGGGGGGTGGTTAATGAAAGTGTTCCAAAATGCGACATTAATTTCTTGAAAGGTGTTGTTAATAAACTGCATAAAGGAAGTTTTAGGGCAATGTTTTCAGCTGCAAGCTTGAAACTTCTTCCAAAAATTTCCTAGACAGATGCACTCCATTAAAAATGCCTATCTAGTATACTAGCCTTTGCCTAAACTTTATATTAAGCAAGAAACTATAAATAGGTTTAAATAATTCCTTTATTCTTTCAGAGCAGCAGTACAATCACAATAAACCAAGAAATTTCTATAGACTGAATACTTTCTTTGCCAAAAGTGCTAGATTTAGAATCTTGCTTGTAATTATGTATATCTTATGTTTCTAATAGGTTGAAAATTCTGATGTAAAAAAATTGGAGCTCAGACATGTCACATGACATACAAAAATACAGATTGAGAATTTTTTTTATGTTTTTAAAACTTAGGTAATATAACAATTTGAATTATAAACTTTGTTTTATTTTTTATAATAAATTTGTTTAAATTTGGAATGTAATGTTAAAGGTTGTGGCATGTGTGAAAGGGTTACTCATGGACACAGTGTTAAAAGCATGTTGATTTTGGGCTACTGTTTGACATGTATTTTATAATCTACATTGCAGTATAAAAGTAATTTTCTGAATATCAGTGTCAGATAAAAATTAATCAACTTTTTAAGTATAGAGGATAATGTTTGTAAATTTATATACATATCTTGATTCTAGTCTTTTTTTTAAATGTTCAAATTAAAGATAGTTATAGAACAACATTATACTGATGAAGTGATGGATGCTACAGAAAAACTATTTTTTGCCTGCCAGAATGGAAATACTGATGATGTCAAAACACACATGAAGGAAGGTATGTTCTGAATAAATTTCAATATTGAGTTGAAGTGTTTTTCTTATGTTTAATAATACAGTTTTTTTTAAGTATTTCAAAGGATATTTAGGGCTAAATATTTTTCCACAATTACATGTACAAAATTTTAATAACATTTATAATACATATTTCACATGTTTATATAACAACAAAACAAAAAAAAGAAATTGAGTAATGTATTTGACATAACAGAATGCTTAAAAAATATTTGATAAATTTCAATTTAGTTCATCATTAATTTACTGTCTATGGGCTTTGCCATTTTGACTAACCTTTCAACACCCATGTAACCATAAAGCTATATTTACTATAACTTTGTTGTAGTAGGTGTATCTTCACAAGATTTGGTATGCTTTTAATAAACATTACAACTATTTTGTGGGCATAAAAAATCAGAATTTTTAGTTAAGTACTTGTACTAAAAATTTGTCTGTAAATTTATGTACTGGTCTGAGTGCAAGGTAATTTTCATGGTAAGATAAAAAATATCTCACAGTTTTCAAATTTCAGTTACATAACTTCTAGAGCTTCTTAAATAAAAATCCAAAATGTTTTCAGTTGAACTGAATATTTTGTCTGTTATTTTCTCTACCTTAACACTGGTTCATTTGACCAGCCTTGTAACCACCACAAAAGTATGAAATAATAATTAAATTTATAATAAAGTAGTTTAATTAAATTTTGAATGTAACTCCACATAAAGGTTGTGACATGCACTCTTTCTCCTACCCATATACAGAGGGTTAAACTTATTTTAGAAGTATTATTCATCTCTCCTAATATGGTATGTATATATTTTCCCTTTGATCTGAATTATATGTTTGTATGTTTAACTCAATTAGTGCTTTGTTGTGAATTCTTTTAAATCCAGTTATATGACAGAAGTATGAATCTATAGCTATATCTATCAACAGTGAAACAGAGATTTTTTCTTTATAGTGTGTGTGAACATTCAAGATGCAGAAGGTGTTACACCTCTGCAAGTTGCAGCAGCCAATGGTCATGAAGAAGTTGTTTACTTACTTCTTTCAAGTAAGGCAGAGATTGATCTAGCCAATAGCTCTGGTTGGACACCTTTGATGCTTTCAGCAAGATATGGACATACAGCTGTCGTCAGTCTTTTAATCAACAATGGAGCAAGAGTTAATGTTTGCAACAAATTAGGTATGTTGTTTGTATCTTTCATTTATTAACCCATTGACTGCTGATTCACTGTATAGGGTACGGTCTGCCTCTGGCAATAGAATGCAAGTGTGGTGTACAAACTGTATGGCTTGCAAGAATTCAGTGTGTGTGTGTTTAGAGCACCTGTAGTCAATGGGTTAAAAACAGTGTACAAAGTGTAAAAAAGGATGACTTGTGAAAGTTCTTTCGTTGGTATGTGCATGTATAATGCAGATTTTACAAAACATAATGCAAATATTATAAACATCAGAAGTAATAAATAGTAGACTATGTACAGGTTGCTTATTTTTAATAATCATTCATGCCTTCCTTGAATTTGTAGAACATATTTTAATTTTATGGATTGAAAGTGATCTGAGCAGGATTTATATTTTGTATGTATAGTTGTGTTTTCTTTGTTTTATTTTAGAATTGCTTAATTTTGAACATACTAAGTTTTAAAAACTATGACACTAAGAAATATGTCCAGGAATTTTTTATTTTTTATGTTTTTGTTAAAATTTAATATTGCCTTATTTACAAAATATTTTGCTTGAAATTTTAATGACATTTGTCACTCATGTCTCTTGTTATGTTGAATTACTTTTGGTACCTGTTCCTTTTAAATTGACCAGCTATTAATGTTTGTTCTTTTTCTTTGCCTCCCTCGTCTATTTCTCATCAATGTTTGTGACTTCTACTTTTTCCTTTTCACACTGCTGAGTGGCCAAACATTAGACTTTGGCAAAGGTAGGTCTTTTTACTCATTAAATGACTTTCTTCTGTTCTGGATTACTCTCCAGTTTGGACTGTTGGGGAATATTGTCTCAGATCATTGGTTCATCTGTAGGACCTTTGGCCTTGTGGTTCTGTGGTTTTTATAGGTCCATCAGTCTGGTCTTATTGTCTTTTCTCCTTTTTTTCTAATTGTGTTTCTCATAAGTACTGGTTCAGGAAGTCTCAAATCTCATTTACAAATGAGCACTTTATATTATTTATTACATCTCTTCAGGTTTTTAATTCTGTTTTTTTTTTTAATATCCAGAACTTGATGATTTTTGCAAACACCACAAATCTTGAACAAAACTCCCACACTTAAACATGTTTACGTGTGTTGCATCAGCCTATGATGTAATCATCATTAAACTATAGTTCTCCATCAGTAGGAGGGCATCTCATCCTCCATGTGCAGTAATCCCCATGAGTACTAGAATTTGAACAAAGGCTCATTCTTTACTTGGCAATGCTTTGTTCAGGTGTGTGTTTTTCTTGGGAATTAACAGCATTTTTGTGCTCATTATTATTATAAACTGTTGTTATCATTCATAGTGTAGTCTTTCTTTCATTAGTTTTCTTGATTATGAAAAAGAAAGATATCAAATTTAAATATTTCACTTAGAACTTTTATTTCAGTTATCTTCAATTTAATTTTTTTATCAAATTTGAAATTTTGGGACATGTGTTCCTTTGTCTGTGTTGAGATTTCTTTGACAGTACTAGTGTATGGATTTTATTAAGTACTCTTCAGTATTGTCATTAGGCCTATGCCCAGTTGACATACTGGGCTAAATTTTATTTCTAACAAAGAGAATGTTTGTTCATAGATTAGCATTCATTCATGTTTTCACATTTCTGATATATCCTAAGGTTCTCACACATCCTCAATAGGGGTAATCCAATACTGTAAGGGTGACTAGAATCACTGACAGTTATTCATATTGTTGCCATTGTGTACTAGGTAGTTGGTTATATTCTGATCTCAGATCCAGGATTCCTGACTTTCTCTTTTCGTTACTTCAGCTCAATCTGTTTCATCTTTTGTCAAGTTTCACCACTTTTGTTTTCATTCCTGCTGTCCTCTTCTTAGGGAGGATTAGGAACCCCACCTTCATCCTTCATTGCTTGGATTACACAGATATGCATCTTTTGTCCTTCTCCAGTTGTTTTATTACTGAATCTCATGTTGCTTTCTTGTGTTAGCCTCTGTCACTTGAATCTCTTCTTTTAGCTTGGGAACTCCTCTTTTTTTTTTCTCTCCCACTTTCCAGCTAAAAATGTCTTCATCTCTTACTCAGCTTCTTCACTGTCTGTCATATTTCACTTTCTTTTGAAGTGCAGATGTAAAAAGAAGTTTGTCTGTTAATACAAATGTCACAAGCTTCAGCCCCATAAAATTACACTTAACAGGGAAGTGTTAAGACCTGCTAAAATGGCCTATAGCAACTATAAACAAAAATTGGAGGAAGAAAATGCTGAAAAAAAGAGAAGCAGAAAAGAGAAAAGGTTGAGCTTTAATAGAAGAGGTTAGAAGCTGAAGAGAAGGAAACTAGGAACAAACATTGTTCCCTTCTTGAGAGAGAGAAAGAATTTTTGACAAAGAAAACTGAAATTCATAGGAAGTTAATCTGTACAGAGGAATCACTTAAAGATGGAAACAGCAAGTTGAAAAAAGCAGTAGAAAAACCGTGATATGAAGGGAGTAGGTGTGGCACAGGTGATTGTAGCTGCAGCCATGAGAAAGACAGAAAGCTTAAGAAAAGAAATTAACAAATATGTAAAAGTCAGAGGAATGTTAAACAACAAAAGGGACAGCTGCTGGTGAAGAAGCTGGCCAAAACAGCCAGTTATAATAAATCATCATCTGTAGGAAGGAAATATGAATATAAATGTAGTTTTTCATCAGCATAGGATTGGACATTTGCAGAGTTTAGATCTAAAAGGAAAGAGTTATCCAATCAATCATCCAATCCCAAGAAAGTAAATCAGACTTAGGTATCTTTGTTCTAGTCCCAGAAATATTTTTTCATTGGTGTAACAGTTATTGATGTACTTGTAACTGTTGTAGAAATCTTTACTGCATTCAGTCATTCTTTAAGATTATTACAATATCACTACACATTATGTAAGTTTAGTGTATCAAGTTCCCAAAAGAACTATTTTTCAGTGCCACTCTCATTTTATTTCTATTGTTGCATCTTTGTCTATTGAAACAGTCTTACGTATCTAAGCATTGTTCAAGATGGTGTTGACAAAGTGTTGTTTGTATCTTTATAACTCTATATCAGCATGGGCTTGGTTCCTGGGACCGACCTCATAACCATTTTGTGCTTGTTATAGTTTTCATGCTATAACATTTAAATTAGTAGCCGTAAACATTACAAGGCTTTCATACACAAAATATAATTTTTTTATTGAGTCTAAAGGTTTGTTAAGCAATGTTTTTCTCATGCCTTTTTTCTTTTTACATGTTGCCTATTCAACGTGCAAAATGATTTTTATTTTAAGATTAAAAATACTTTTGTGCATCAGAAAATTTTCAAATTTCACACGCAAAATCTCTATAACATCCAGATAGTTATCAGACATTTCTTAAGAAAAAAATTTATATTTTATCTGTTATTTTTCACTAACTAATCTCTGTACAAGTTCGGTTGATTTGACCGATCTTGTAACCACCATAAAATGTTAGGAAATAAATATAAGTTATGCATTTTTTGTTCTAGGATGACTGCAAAGTATAACACAAAAACACAAATCTTTAGACTAAATATCTTAAGTCTCATAACATTATACATTTATATATATATTTATTATTTTAATTATATTGACTTTTCAGCCGTGCCTGGCTAACAATACAGAAGTTACAATGAAGTGGTGCATGTGCACTCATGTTACTGTATCCTGTAATATAAAACTGACCTTTAGTCTTTACAAAGTGACCTGTCTTGGCTGTATTTTAGTAGACTAGTATTTTGTAAATTACAGTCACATTTCAGTTATTATACATTATATATGTATATACATAATTACTATTTTCAAATATGTTCTAAAACATATTTTTCTTAAAACACAGAACAGTAAATAAAGAAGTAAAGCAAACAATTATCTCTTCTAGTTACGACTTTTTTACTCGGTTGCAGCTTGACATAAGTTGCTAAGTCTTAAAAAATTTCGCAAATGGATAATGTGAAACAAATTATTTGTCCAACCTTTGTACTCAGTTGCTGCTTGTCATAGGTTGCCAAGTCTTAAGAAATTTTGCACATAGATAATGTGAAATGAAATAATTTTTTTTAGGTTTATGTATACATTTGAAATAACCAAAAAATCATAAATTAGTATATCGATACCATAGAATTCTACTAGAATTTATCAAGCTTAGTAACTAAGCTGCATTTGGGTCTAAAAAAATATGATATTTCTAGCAGACTAAAGACTCAACTAACCAGCTTAAAATTTTGCATTGAAAGAATGATTTGATGTCTTAATACTTGAAAATGGCTGAGAATGCCACTAGGGGGACATTCTGAGCTTTCGATTGGTTATTCACATGTGTAGTCTAGCTTGTTAGTATCGGTAATTTCAGTTCCTAATTCATACAAAACTATAGACTTTGTATTGTGACATCAGCATGTTTAGGTATGTTTTTTAATATTTACTTTTAAATTAAGAAATTAAATAATGTATAATACTAAAATTTGAATTATAATCTACAGTTTGATACCAAACTTATTGACATAAATTCATAAAATTTTTGAATACGAGTCAACAAAGGGGATGACGTGGTCTTTGACCTATGACCTGTGTGGAAAGGGTTAAATGAAACATTCACTTTATTTCTTTTGAAGGGCCCCAGTGGCACAGCAGTACGTCTGTGGACTTGCAATACTAGAATCCTGGTTTCGATACCCATGGTGGGCAGAGCGCAGATAACCCGTTGTGTAGCTTTGTGCTTAATTACAAAAAACAAAACAATACTTTGGAAGGCTTTATCACATTTAATTATTATTTAAGATGATTATGATTAACTACCCATTATTTAAGTTCAGTATATCAAGTCTAAGTATTTCTATTGTTAAATTTTTATTGTCATGAATACATCTAATCATTGTTTAAGATGGTAAAGATAAGAATGTTAATTTTGTTAAATAAAATTAAAACTGAGAGAAGGTGAGTGGAGGAGGCAAAAAATTATTTTTTTTCAAAATTTTGTTTAAAAT